CCCATTTAAACTCTGCTCAGAAAATTGCCATGCCTTTTCCTTGCAGCAAGACTAGTGAATAAAAGAATGGTAGAGGCTGGGTGTGGTGGCTCACACCTGTAATCCTAGCACTTTGGGAGGCCGAGGAGAGTGGATCACGAGGTCAGGATATCGAGACCATCCTGGCTAACACGGTGAAACCCTGTCTCTGCTAAAAATACAAAAAATTAGCCAGATGTGGTGGCACACGCCTGTAATCCCAGCTACTCGGGAAGCTGAGGCAGGAGAATTGCTTGAACCTGGGAGGTGGAGGTTGCAGTGAGCCCAGATCTCACCACTGCACTCAGCCTGGATAACAGAACGAGACTCTGCCTCAAAAAAGAAAAAAAAAAAATGTAGATAGGCGGGGTGGAGTTAGGCTTTGCGTAAAAAAAGCAAATTCTATCAACACCTGCTTTATTTATTGTTTGATTGATTGATTGAGACAGAATCTCACTCTGTATTACCTGGGCTGGAGTGCAGTGGTGTGATCATAGCTCACTGCAGCCTCAAACTTTTGGGCTCAAGAGATCATCCTGCGTCAGCTTCCTGAGTACCTGGAACTACAGGCACTCACCACCATGCCTGGCTAATTTTTTAATTTTTTTGTAGAGACAAGGTCTTGCTGTATTGCTTGGGCTGGTCTTGAACTCCTGGCTTCAAGCAGTCTTCCCACCCCAAAGTGGGATTACAGGCATGGGCCACCACCCCGACCATCACCTACCTTTTCACCTACAGTGTCCTGGGCACTGTGGGGTCTAAGGCAACAACAGGACATGGAGGAATTGTGCCCACCTTGCTGTCCTCCCACAATGCTTTTCCCCCAGGTCTATGGACATTTCTTTAATTGGTTTATTAATTAATAGTAGCTGTTGCTATCAAACATAACCATATATTCTTTCTCTGGGAAGAAAGAGCAATCTCAGTAAGTGGATAGAAGAAACTCATATAGCCCTCTTTCTCTCCTAAATAAGCAACACGTGTTTATTGAAGTAAAGAAATAAACATGGCCAGGCACGGTGGCTCATACCTGTAATCCCAGCACTTTGGGAGGCCAAGGTGGGTGGATCACTTGAGGTCAGGAGTTTGAAACCAGCCTAGGCAACATGGTGAAACCCCATCTCTACTAAAAATACAAAAATATTAGCTGAGCGTGGTGGTGTGCGCCTGTACACCTACTTAGAAGGCTGAGGCACAAGAATCACCTAAGCCTGGAAGACGGAAGTTGCAGTGAGCCGAGATTGTGCCACTGTACTCCAGCCTGGGTGACAGAGCAAGATCCCGTCTAAAACAAAAGAAAGAAAAGAAATAACCATTACTCTCACTTTCTTCTTCCTCTCCATTTGTCCTGTAATTTGTTGTTTTGAGTTAACAAAAATGAAATAACTGCATTATTTAATGGACCATTTTTAGCCATTTTATGCTGATGAACACTTTGGCTTTTTTCACTTTTTTGTTATTATCTACCACCAGTGCTACAGTGAGTATTCTTATACCTTTGCACAGTAGTGCTTGTTCTTTTTTTTTTTTGAGACTGAATCTTGCTCTGTTGCTCAGGCTGGAGTGCAGTGGTGCCATCTTGGCTCACTGCAACCTCTGTCTCCTGGGTTTAAGTGATTCTCTTGCTTCAGCCTCCCGAGTAGCTAGGATTACAGGCACCCACCATCATACCTGGCTAATGTTTGTATTTTTAGTAGAGATGGTGTTTCACCATGTTGGCAAGGCTGGTCTTGAACTCCTGGCCTCAAGTGATCTACCCACCTCAGCCCCCTAAAGTGCTGGGATTACAGGTGTGTGCCACTGCACCTGGCCTTAGTGCTGGTATTAATGTGGAAGAGATTTGAGACATTCCTAAAAGTAGTGCATTTAGTATTCTAAACATGGTAGATAACTGCATAATTTTCTTATCCAAAGGGTTATGTACTGCCATAAACAGTATTCGAAAGATTCCCTTATCATTTCACTCTAGGTATAAGTCAGTGTCATGGTTGATCTGTGTGTACTCTTTGGAGAATTACGCAGTGCTGTTATATTTTTTAGGTATGGTGGATATTGCCCGGCAGACAGTTGAATTTCTCTACGAAGAGAATGGTGGCATCCCAAGAGACCTTTATCTTCCCACCATTGAAGACATTAAAGACGAAGCAAACAAGTTCACAATTGATAAAGTTCGAAAAGGTTTTGCTTTCCTCCTTACTCCATCTATGAAATGAGACGTTGAATTTTCCTTAATGTGCACAAGCAGCTGGTGGCCCTCCTAGGTTGACTCTCTTTACTCTGACTAAGCCGACCTCTTCCACACCGCCCCATGCAAAGCCCTAGAGCAACCTTGGTGGGGCCCTTCCCACTTCCCAGAGCTCAGTGGCATGAACTGAGGGAGGCAGGCAGCTGCACAAGAAGAGAAGTAGGGCCTGGGCTAAAGATTGCAGATGGGCCTCTCAGGCTTAGTCCTGGATTCTGAGATGATCAATTACATGCGAGTGGCTAAATAGAGCTTTTTAGAATTTTAATGGAATGTGTTATCTTTGGTTAAAAATCTATTGCATATTTTAAGGAAATGAGGAAAATACAGAAAAGCACAAAAAAGACAATTGAAAACCACTATTTTTAGAATTACCAGAAGACCTTCATAAAAATACCAGAACATCACAGGCAGGGCAGGAATATATATTTACTTTTCATGTCTCTTTTTTATGTGTGTGATATAATTCACATATCATAAAATACCTTTTTAAAATATACAGTTTACGCCGGGAACGGTGGCTTACACCTGTAATCCCAACGTTTTGGGAGACTGAAGTGGGTGGATCACGAGGTCAGGAGTTCAAGACCAGCCTAGCCAAGATGGTGAAACCCTGTATCTCTTTTTTTTTTAGCCAATGGAAGCAGAAACCTTGAAGCAGAAACCCTGTCTCTATCAAAATAAAAATAAATAAATAAATAAAAATTAGCTGGGCATGCTGGGTGGTGCCTGTAATCCCAGCTACTTGGGAATCTGAGGCAGAGAATTGCTTGAACCCAGGAGGTGGAGGTTGCAGTGAGCCAAGATTGCACCACTGCACTCTAACCTGGCTGAAGAAGTGAGACTCTGTCTCAAAAATAATAATAATAAAAAGTAAAGTAAACCGTTTAGTGGTTTTAGTATATTCACAAAGCTATGCAACCATCAAAACATTGCCTCCAATTAATTCCAGAACATTTTCATCCCCACAAAAAGAAACTGTGTGCTCTCATCACTTATTCTTTCCTCCCCACTGGCCTCTGGGAACCACTAATCTACTACTACTAATACTACTATGAACATGTGTGTACATTTTTGTATAGATACGTGTTTTCATGTCTCTCGGATATATATGTGAGAGTAGAGTTACAGTATCACATGGTAACTTTATGTTTAACATTTTGAAGTATGACCAAACTAGTTTCCAAAGTGATTACGCCATTTTACATTCCCATCAGCAATGTAGGAGGGCCCCAGCTTCTCCACATCCTTGCCAACGCTTGTTTATTGTCTTTTTTTATTTTGGCTGTTTTAGTGGGCATGAGGTAGTATCTCATTGTGGCTTTCACTTGAATTTCCCTAATGACTAATTATGTTGAATATCTTTTCATTTGTATCTTTTCATTTCTGTTTTGAGGAATGTTTATTTAAATTCTTTGCCCACTGTCTGGGCACAATGGCTCACGCCTGTAATCCCAGCACTTAGGGAGCCCAAGACAGGCAGATCACCTGAGGTCAGGAGTTCAAGACCAGCCTGACCAATGTGGTGAAATCCCATCTCTACTAAAAATATACAAATTAGCTGGACGTGGTGGTGTACGCCTGTAAACCCAGCTACTCCAGAGACTGAGGCAGGAGAATCACCTGAACCTGGGAGGCGGAGGTTGCAGTGAGCTGAGATCACACCACTGCACTCCAGCCTGAGTGACAGAGCAACACTCTGTCCCTCAAAACAAACAAAATTCTTTGCCCCTTTTAAACTGGCTTGTTTGTCCTTTTATTCTTGAATTGTAAGAGCTTTTACAACATTCTATTGTGCTACCTTCCAGTCTGAGTTGTGTTCTTGCTTGGTTATAACAAAACTGAGGGTTCTTTTAAAGCCTGTGGAGCTATTTTATTTTATTGTATTTATTCTATTTTATTTTACTGTATTTATTCTATTTTATTTATTTTATTTTTATCTGGAGAGCTATTTTAGATGCAAAATATAGGGACCCAGATGCAGTGGTATTGTTTCCTGAAAACCTTCTCCCTTTTTAATTCTCAGGTCTCACAGTAGTAACCCGATCTCCAGACAGCAATAATGTAGCCAGTAGTGCTGTTGGAACTGCTCTGCCGAAATTTGCCATCCGAGGGATGCTAAAAACCTTTGGGCTTCATGGAGTCGTCTTAGATGTTGATTCAGTGAGTGAACAGCCGTTCCGATTAATAAGCTCTTTTATGTATACTTAGGCTTTCATGCCCAGACTCCCAAGTACCTTAACAAGTGATTATACAAGCCTGGTGCGGTGGCTCACGCCTGTAATCCCAACACTTTAGGAGGCAGAGGTGGGCAGATCACAAGGTCAGGAGTTTGAGACCAGCCTGACCAACATGGTGAAATCCCATCTGTACTAAAAATACAAAAATTAGCCGAGTGTGGTGGCATGTGCTTGTCATCCCAGCTACTCAGAAGGCTGAGGCAGGAGAACTGCTTGAACCTTGGAGGCGGAGGTTGCAGTGAGCCAAGATCATGCCACTGCACTCCAGCCTGGGCGACTCCGTCCCACACACACACACACTCACACAAAAGCGATTATACAGATGAGTTTCTCTTCAAATCGAGGACAAAGACACAAAGCAAAAATGCTCTAATACCAATTGACCTGCCTGAGCTTTCCTCACAGACTCAGATCCAGGCTGGCAATAGATGACAGGCTGTCCAGTCTCAAAGCTGTCAGCGCCTTTAGACCACACCACTTCTACCATTATTTTCTGTCCAACATGTTCAAATTGTTCCTGCATTGTATCTACCCAAGTTCCCAGGGAAAATTCCCAATTGTCCTTGATGAATGGATGATCTCTCATTGTCATAAGGGTCATACAGATACAAATCAAAGAAATAGGCTAGTTATAGTGGCTCACACCTGTAATCCCAGCACTTTGGGAGGCCAAGGAGGGAGGATCACTTGAGCCCAGGAGTTCAAGACCAGCCTGGGCAACACGGCAAGATCCTGTCTCTACAAAAAATTAGTCAGTCATGGTGGGCATACCTGTAGTCCCAGCTATGTGGGAGGCTAAGGTGGGAGGATCGTTTGAGCCCAGGACATCAAGGCTGCAGTGAGCTGTGATGGTGTCACTGTCCTCTAGCCTGGTCAACAGAGCGAGTTCCTGTCTCTGTCATTTTGTTCATGTCATCTCACTGATTCTCTCAGCCTTAACTTCCCTATCTGTAAAATGAGTGTATTAAACTGAATCAGTAGTTTCCTCCTCCATTTTGCAAAGCTGTCTCCTAGGGCATAGCTAGGACTTTTAGGGGTAGGGGCAGAGAAGAGAAGAGAGTGAGAGAGGGCAAGGCCAAATCTTTCTTTTGAAAAGAGACTCCTGTTTGAAAGCCATGACTATGTGATTCTAAGGTTGCATGCATATCCTTGCATTTGAGAAGCTTCCTATGCAGGAAAATCTGGTGTAATAATGTACACCAGATATACACTCTCAAGCCTGAGAGTCTCTGATAAAATGTTAATATTATCAGGCTGGGGGTCGTGGCTCACGCCTATAATCCCAGCACTTTGGGAGGCCAAGGCAGACAGATCACAAGGTTAGGAGTTCAAGACCAGCCTGGCCAACATGGCAAAACCCTGTCTCTACTAAAAATGCAAAATTTAGCCAGGCATGGTGGCTTGTGCCTATAATTCCAGCTACTCAGGAGTCTGATGCAAGAGAATCACTTGAACCTTGGAGGCAGAGGTTGCAGTGAGCCAAGATCACACCACTGCATTATAGCCTGGGCAACAGAGCGAGACTCCATCTAAAAAAAAGAAATATATATATATTTTTTATATATATTTTTATATATAAAAGTATATATATATATATATAATCAATCACTGTACAGATATAAACTTTGGTATCTATCTAGAGAGATACAGATGATATTAGGTTCCATTAATGCTTTGTTACCTTTAAAAAATTTATATCTGGGCCGGGCGCGGTAGCTCACACCTGTAATCCCAGCACTTTGGGAGGCTGAGGTGGGTGGATCACGAGGTCAAGAGATCGAGACCATCCTGGTCAACATGGTGAAACCCCGTCTCTATTAAAAATACAAAAAATTAGCTGGGCATGGTGGAGGCTGAGGCAGGAGAATTGCCTGAACCCAGGAGGCGGAGGTTGCGGTGAGCCGAGATCGCGCCATTGCACTCCAGCCTGGGTAACAAGCGAAACTCCGT